TCCCAGGTAATGATCAGAATGAAAATGAGAGGAGCTTTGGAGACCAACTTAAAAATTCAGAATTCTACCCTAACCATTCCTGGATATGATGCTCTTTTCTTTCTCCAAAGGGCAACTCTAGGCTGTCCTGGTTGGTAAACCCTCCAGGAGGCTCCCAAACTTAACTCCAGTTCAGATACCTGGATTTCTGTGTTGAACTGAATGGTCTTAGAATGCAAAGATAACCATTATTTGGTTGAGGACACTGCTCACCTAGTTCCCCTACAGTGGCCCATGCTGGCCAAAGTGGGAGGGCACAACGGGTCCCTGTTAATTTTATAAAAATGTCTTTGTTCCTCTTGTACTTGCCCTTCTGGACGAAAAGTCAGGTACAAGTAGGAAATTATTGGGAAAAAAGGTAAAATTACTGGGACACACAAATTTTGTGGCAATGGAGGCAATATAAGCATCCCACGTCTAGGGGTGTAGGAAACATGGAAACAGGAGGGATAGTAATAATCTTTGTCTTTCAGAACTGCCCTTGAAACCTTAATCACAAAGAAAAGTGCCTTGGTGAGACTACCCCACACAGTTTCAGAGTATAAAATTCTGGCAGTTATTTTCTTTCCATTCATTTTTGAAAATCATTTTATTATTTTCATGTGTCTTATTGCTGCGTCAATTTGTTTCATTTGTCACTAACTTTAGGATACTTCCACCTTTCTTCTCTGAAAACTTTTAAGATTTTCTTAGTCTTTTCCTTTTTTTCTTCTTTTCTGCTGTGGAAGATTCACCCTGGGCTAAAGTCTGTCGCCAATCTTCTTCTTTTTGTATGTAAGCCTCCACCACAGCATGGCCACTGACAGAGGAGTGATGTAGGTTCACAGCTGGGAATTGAACTCAGGCCGCCACAGAGGAGCACACCAAAATTAACCCCTAGGCCACCAGGGCTGGCCCAAGATTTTCTCAGTCTTAAGTGCTCTGGACTAACACTATAATGAATCTGCGTAACGGTTTCTTTTAATTTTCCTGACTGCCATTTGTTGGGCCTCATGAAATTACAGGTTATCTTTTCACTTCTGAAAAATTCTCAGTGATTCTCTCTTTAAATTTTGCCTAACCCACTCTCTCCTCTCCTCGTGTGTAACACCAATTAATGTATGTTAGACCTACTCACTTTCTTCTCCATATTTTCCATCTTTTTAGCTGTCTTAGAAGTTGGATAATTTTTCCTCATATATCTTCCAGTCTACTAATATGTCCTTTAACTACATCCAATCTGCTATTAAACCTAGGTCCTGTACATTTTTGTTTTACTACAGTAATTCTGGTTTTCATTTTCAGAATATATTTTCAGTTCTTTTCCAAATTTGTCAGGTCATATTTTCAAGCATTTCTTGTCTCCTTTAAAAGCTAAAGTATAGTACTATCGATCACCATATCTAAATACATGAGTGCATTTTTGCTGCCTATTATTTTTGCTGATTCTCACAGTGACTTTTTTCCAATTATGCTTGGTAATTTTGACTAGTGGAACTTGCAGAACTTCTAAAGTTACTGAAGGGGATTCTTTGAGGCCAAGGATAAAGACAACTTCCTAGAGAGAGAACGCATTTTTGATTCTGCCAGGACCTATGGACAACACAAATCCAACACCATTTAAAACTAAATTCCCAAGTCGGTATTTATTGGACCATTGAAGTGACACAAATTAGCTGCAAAACATGGTACAACTTCTCAGGGGCAAGTCTCATCACCTCCAACAGCACCCTTCAGAGCCAAGGTAACCATCTTTGTAGTGCTCTAGGAGTTCTGAAAGAGGGGGATACTTCTGACTTACCCTTATTGTGAATATGTCACCCTTTGACAAACAACTTAATAAGGGGCAAGATCTCCTATTAAAGTTCCTTACCATACACAATGTTCTTTGACTTATTTCTTCCACGTTCAACAAGGATATCATAACTGAAGTTTATACACATAAGCCAATTTATATACAAGCAAATATTATCATGTCAAAAACTGACTTTCAGTGTGCTGAACTTACTTCTTTGGGTTCCTGCTTTCACCCTGATTTCAGTAAAATTTTACAATATTTTATATCCAACAGAAACAACACAAAATTCTGGTTGTTTCCACTAGAAAATGTGTCTTAGTCTACTATATTTCTTGAAATAGTTGGAGATGTGTTTTTTGTAACGGTTTTAACTAGAACCTAGCCCTACCTTCTATCCAGCTAGTTCAAAGTCATTTCACGAGGCAAGCCATTTTCACAAGAAATATGCCAGAGACACAAACCAGTCACAATGTAGCTTATTAGTAAATTTCAACTAACCATACTCTACTTGTTCTCTATCTAAGCAATGACAACCAAGAGAGAACTATAATATAATACATCCAATGCAGACATTAAGGAGTAATTATATTAAGAATTACACTTCCAAGATGTTCAACTTAAAAAATTTTACCATGAAATTTATGAATGCCTAAACACAGGATTGTAAGATATAAAAAGATAGGCTTTATCTCATCTAATTATACATAATAATGTAGTATTCCAATTGTGTGAATTCATATTAAAGTATATCTATTGAAATATAACCACAGTCAGATGATTCTAGGATTTTATTTTGGCAAGATTTTGTCATATGAACTTGGGTAACGAACAAGTAGTTAAATTTACTTTTAAGCATGATATATAATTTGCATCATTTTCCCTTTTGAATTTAGACTTCCAAGCCTTAATAAAACCCATAGAAACAAACACATCTTTGCTAAATGTTTAGCTAGAATGCTGACATTTCCTTTTTACTGATACAATGTGATTTACATATGTGCTTATTAACTGCCTATTTTGCATTTGACACTGTTAACTGTAAATTATAAAACTTACACATAACAAAAAAATAACATTTAGCAACAGTAAATTAATATGACTTTTTACTTCTACAGAGTATAATTTTATGTAAAATTTTACAGCATATTACACTATGCCAAATCTCTGTAATGTTATCTACAATAAAAGTATTTATAAAATATATACTATTTTAAAAGTACATTAAAATGTAAAAGACCAAGAATAAAAAAGAGCATTATCTTATTTTCTTTTCCATTTGGACAAAAATAAGTATCTAAAACAATATATAACATATACATTGAAGTTAGTAACAGATTAGGAATAGTTTCAATCCCTTAACTTTTAAGTTATTTCTACTGTTTATTATCTAATTAATTAGTACATGTTCTTTTAATTAGAAAACACATAATATAAAACTACTGATACCATTTGGTATATAAGCTTCCAGAGTTTTTAAAATTTACATACTACTATAAATTCATAAAAAATACACTCTTTAAAATAATATTTGTAACACAGTATATATTGTTTTATAACCTCTTTTTTACATAATAGATCATTCCCCTTAAATATGAAATCCAACTCATGTATTTCATGATTCAAATATTTCTCAACAAAGCTGAAGTACTGTCAAGTTTTATAATATTCAAGATAATTATTTCATTCCAATCTATTTCTTTAAGACAAGACCTAATTTTATAATTTCTCCAAATCCTTTACAAAATAAGCCTAACTAAAATGTCTCAAGATAGTTTATGTATTTTTGGCTTTCATTTAAAATTACTGGTGTTAAATGCTATTAACTGCAATGAAAGAGAATAATGAATTTTAACTGTCTTTCCGTCTTAAAATAATGTCTTAAAAAGTACTTTCCGAAGTATCATTAAAAACATTAAAAAGTATTACTAATAAAAATTATGTGCCTTTGCTAAACAGAGCATTATGAGACAACTCCTACGATACAGTAATCTCAGATTACTTAGAAAGAAATATACTATTGATACTGTGCCAAGGGAAATTATGTGAGGAAGCTGGCACATTCTGCTACCAAACAACTCTGCGACAGAGAAAAGAACACTGGAGTCGTAAGACCCATCTTAGCTGCGTACCTTTGGACAATCATTTAACCTCTTAAAAGATGTATTTCTTCTTCAGTAAGACAGAGTTATCACTGCTGGCAAAGAGTTGTTTAGAAGATTACACAGTCATGCGTCACTTAACGACAGGGATACATTCTGAAAAATGCATCATTAGGTGATTTCGCCATCGTGTGAGCATCCTAGACAGTACTTACACAAACCTAGATGCTATAGCCTCCTACACACCTAGGGTATATGGTACTAATCTGATGGGACCACCATCATATATGCGGTCCATCATTGACCACAATTTCATTATGCAGCACATGACTGTAGCTAGTTATAAAGCTTTTTTTAGTCGACATTCTTTTGTGATAAAATCAAATTTATTTATTTGATCCTTCAGTAGATCAAATTGCTTTAAACTAAAAAGTTTTCCTTATTAAATTAAAAGATGCATTTTATCACATCTCTTGGAATCTTGCCTAATTCTTTAAAAAAAAATAAACCCTATAAACATACTACCATATTATAGATCAGAGGTTGGTAAACTGCAGCCCATGGACCAAATCCAGCTGGCAGCCTACTTTTGTAAATCAGGATTTACTGGACCACAGCCACACTCATTAAATAATGTATTATCTATAACTGCTTTTATACTACAACACCAGACTGAGTAACTACAACAGAAACCATATGGCCAACAAAGCCTAAAATATTCACCATTGGCCTTTTACAGGAAAATGTTTGCAGACGCCTTCTATAAACGACTATAAACTGAATTGGACAATGTATCCAAAAGGGATTAGGAGAAAAAAAAAAAACCAGAGAAACATTAAAATATACACCTAAATTTAGTGCCCATAATGCCACTCCAAAGTCCTAAAAATCTAAGCTTCAAACGCAATTGGAACTAGAAAATGAAAATTTTGGTTACGTAAAATATAAAAAAAATACTGAAATATATTCATAATTTATTTAGAATAACAAAGTATATTTTTGTGCCTCTTGAAATTAATTAAAGCCAATTATTATTTCTATTATAAACAGAACTTATATCCACTTTATATAAATTAGGTTTTTACCTGCTAATGGCTTGCTCCTCATCAGTCATTCCAGTCTCCCTGAACGCCCTGTTTGATTCCGCCAAACTCAAGGCAACTGCTCTCTGAAGATCATCTTCATCATCTCCAGTGAGATCAATCACATCTGAAAAGCAAAACTAACTTTCTCAAAATGGAAAGTCAAACAGAATGAAAGGTAATTCTTATCATGGAGACTTTACACCCTCTATACCCTTTCAAACCAAAGTCAGCACCAACATAATTCTCTATAAGATCCTTTCTGAAGAGAATACGAACATTTGAAATGGAACATACTTCGAAACACTGTTCCTCTCTGTGAAATATAGCTAAAAGCAGTAAGGGCATAAATATTTTTCATTACAGAGGAAACAATATTTACTATGAAGTCCCTGATTAAAAGTATATAATAAGCAGAAAGACTGCTAAAAAACTTCTTTACAAAACAATTTGAAATTAACGTAATTAAACACTTGCATTTCCGCTTTTGGAAGTTAATCCAAATGTCCACACGTCACAGTTCCTCCACACGACCCCCTAGACGCTGTCTGTCAAAGTACAACAACTAACAACTGAGCTCCCAAAAATCATGTTCCAGAAACTAACTGACCGCAGATACATATACGTTCATATCCACATTGTTTTAAAGTCTGGAAGAACGTGCCAAATTGTTAACAGTGGCTAAGTTTGATGAAGAGGGTTATGGAGGAGGAAGTGTAAGGATCCCTCACTTTCTATTTCAAACACTTCTCTACCATCTGAATTATTTAATAATCATTCAGTTTACTAAATAATTTTAATTTAACAAAAGTTTGCATTTCACAAAAAGAAATACACTAAGCAAAGAAAATAGTTTTGATGCTATAAGTATTCTTTTTCCAAAGAATAAAGGCTACAACTATTACCACCTACAGAAAAAACACTTTTTAACCAATTTCCCAGTAGATATTCATCAATTTCCTTAACCCAAAAGATGCCAATAATACATTATTGTTTAAACAATGGTGAGAACCATAATATGTTGCCAAGTAGGGGATTATAAAACAATATGATGAGAAAGAAAAAACCATATCTGTTATTACCTTATCTTTGTGTGGTTGGGATTTTGCCTCTGGGTATTTTGGACAAGTTCTGTATTCCTTTTGTTTATTTGTATTTGAGACATGTTAAAAACTAATTTTTTTTCATTGTAATCCTAGAATTTTATAAAAGGGAGACAAACAAAAAGGAGTAGGTGATGGGAGATAAGATGCTTGCATTTTACCATCTAGCTATAGGGTTACATACAGAGGTTGGAGAAGAATATTCCACATTTAATAAGAAATAAATAATATATATTGGCCTATTTCTATTGTTATCCACACTTTTTCTCCAAAGGGTAGCTTACAAGGATATTAAAAATATTAGAAATAATAGTTGGCCATGGAAGATTTTTTTTTTTAATGTTCTTAGAAAGTATAATAAAACCTCACAAAAATGTAGTAAGTAGGGTCCAAAAAAATTCAGTCAAGTAAAATGTAGAACACATAGCAAGGTAACTGAAATGATGGAGCATGCCTAGATCTATCAGCAGGCCAAAGGCTTTCTGAGTCCGGCTTACAAGACCTAAGTACAGGTCGACCACGGCTGAACATGGGTGTCACCGGGGTATAACTATCCAATCCAACTTAAATATTGATGAAGCAGAAGTCAGGACTAGAGAGGGATGAAATGGCCTTATGAAAATGAGAACCACCTTGGTCATTAAATAATGACTAGAATAGAGGTGAGAAAAGAGAGAATAATGGAAGTAAGGGAAACAATTTGAAAATCACCAAGCAGCAGAAAAACAGGTTTTGGGGATATGATCAATTAGCCCTCAGACTCCATTCTCTCATCCTCCAAGTATGCTTTATTCAACGATAGAAGCTGGAAAGATTAAAAGATACAAACAAATCTATTTTCCCAATTCACGTGCAGTTAAGGTTCTGGATAAAATTTAGGTTCCACCAACTGGATGCACTAACATGAGCTTTGGAAGGCAGAGTGAGGGGGAAGCCCTCTTCCTGCTGCTTTTGGCTGTTCTCTCCAGCATGACTGAAGAGATGTGGGTTGTTCCACAGTGGCATTCCAGTGTCCAATTTCCAGCTTCAGGGATGTCAAGAGATAAGAGTAGAAGTGGCAACTAGACTCTGCATTCCAATGTCCGGGCATAGCTCAGCGGCAGTTACCTAATCTTGGATGCTTATTCTTCTCTGGGCTGCAGCTACAGAAGCATGTTCTTGAACCCAGGAGTCCCAGAGGCAGCCTCCTGATTTACTCACTCACTACCCTCCTGATTGTGGCAGAGGGAGAGCTTCCCCGGCTGGCGAGTCCCACAAGAATCCAGGAGTCACTTCTGAAAGCTGAGCTAGAGATCCTCTCTCCAGTGCTTCCAGTGATTTTTTTAAGAACCTAATCCTCTGGATTAAATTTCTTCTATGAAACTATCTAGAGTGTTTACTGTTTCGTGACTGACAAGTAAACCAAACCAGCTAAGGCAGAAACTCACTCAGAAATAGCAACAACTTAAACTTAGAGCTTTCTCATAATTTATCAATTGTAACTCAAGCAACACAAAAGCAAAACACAAGGCAAGATATTTTTAACTCTATCTGATACAAGAGACAGATAACTGACATTGTGAGAAATGAAGTATATCATCATAAGAATAAAAAATGGCGGCGAGACTTCAAATTTAAGTCTTCTATTAAATCCAGTGGCTTTCCTCCATAGTAGCAGTTCTCCAAGTGGAGTCCATGGATCCTCAGGGATCCCCTATGGCCCTATGAGGGAAAGGAGGTCCTTAAGTAAAATATATTCTCATAATAATACTAAGGTGTCATCTGCCTTTTCTACCGTGGTCATATTGGCACTGATGATACGAAACAACAATGCATAAAACTGCTGCATCTTAGCACACAAATCAAGGCAGTGGCACCAAGTTGTGTGAGCAATTCATTGTTATTACTCACAAATAGGCACACTCGTTACTCAAAAAAAAAAAAATGCCAGTTTCTCTTAAGTCCTTGATAAAAAGGGAAAAATCAATTTTATTAAATCTCAAATACTGATTTAAATTTTCTTTTAATTCTACATGACAAATAAGAAGTATGCACAGTACTTCTGCTGTATATCCAAAGCACACTGTTGCTAAAGAAAAAACACAAGTGCAACGCTTGAGTTGCAACTGAACTGATTTTTTTTCATGGAACACTATTTTTACTTGAAAGAACAACTGACAAACCACAAACTATGATTATGCAGACTTGAGTATTTGACAGATGTTTTCTCGAAAATAAAGTGAACCTGTCACATGAGGGAGAATGAATGACAGCATTTGTTGACAATGATTAGCACAGAATTTTCAAGCAAAAATCAGAATTTTGGAAAACTTGTTTCTACCATTATGAGCTTGATATTTCCCCAATACTTAAAGGATTTCTGGTGAAATCAGGTGATATTAACAATTTTAGTTTGTTTTATGATGCAGACATTCTTCCAAGATTTGGAAGGAAATCTTTTCCAAATTACCAACGCACAGTATTACAAAATCATGCATAGGTAAACAATCCATTCAAAGAGCAAGGTAAGCCATAAAGACACTTCTAGCATCTTCGGTCTTTGACCCTGGATCCTGACAGAGAGCTTCTAAATCACTTGGAACTTCCTGGGTGATAGGAGCATCTTTTGTTCTAATGAGACGACTCTTGGTGGCCTCCTGTATAGCTTCAGAGTGGGCACTGATCACCAGAAAAACCAAACCATGATTAGAAGCTTGGAACTTTGAGCCTCATCTCCCATCCTCTGGGAAGGAGAGAGAGGCTGGAAATTAAATTAATAATCAATCAAGCCCACCTGATGAAGTCTCCATAGAAATCCCTGAAGTACAGGGCTCCGAGAGCTCCTGGGTTAGTGACATATCCACATGGTGGGAGGGTGGCGTACCCCAAATCCATGAGACGGAGGCTCCTGCACTCAGGACCCTTCCAGACCTTGCCCTATGCATCTCTTCATCTGGCTATCCATCTGTATCCGTTATCATATTCTTTACTATATAATAGGTAAATGTGTTTCCCTGAGTTCTGTGAGTGACTGTAACAAATTATCAAACTTGAGGAGGGGGTCATGGGAACCCTCAATTTGTAGCCCAGTTAGAGAGAAGTGTGAGTAACCTGGGAACCCATTACTTGTAACTGGCATCTTAGGTGGAGGCAGTTGTGTGCAACTGAGCCCTTAACCTGTGGGATCCGATACCAACTCCAGGTAGTGTCAGAATTGAACTGAATTGCAGGACACTCAGCTGGTATCAGAAAATTGGTCGGGTGTGGGGTAAAGACTCACATATCTGGTGTCAGAAGTATTGAGTGAGGGCAGAGGAAGAAACAAGCAATAGTAGCCTTTCATGCTAGAAAGGTTGGTTGGCGAGAAGTTATTGGTCCTTAACTGAAAAGCTGAGACTTTTTCCTTAAGCAGTAGAGAAAGTTTATTTATTATTTGTAGCTTCACTATAATTATCATAATTTTTTCCAGGATGTTCCCATTACTCCATAAATCCTCTTCTTTCCAGAAGATATTTTAGAACAATACAGCAATCGTGAAAGACTATTATAACCTACTCGCATACTAAATACAGATATGATTTTAAAACCAGATATTAAGAAAATAAAATGTTATTTCACTAGATTGGCAAAACCTGAATTTCTTCTTTTTCTGGAGTTAGGGGAATGACTTCCAAAAACACGTAATGAACTATCAATTTCACAATGAAAACTAGCCCTCTATGATTTTCTTATATGCTCACACTCAAAAAGGAACATAGAATAAACTTGGCGTAAACAATTTCTAATTGGCCAAACTAAATAAAAGTTTAGCCTATGTAAAAATTCCATCCAAATACCAAAGTATTACAAATATTTTTATATCTGTACCAAGCCGAGGACCTTGGTAAAACACTCAAACTTTGTTTTAACCAACCCTCCCTCTAGTATTAGTGTGAACACAACTCAAGGGCACAAGCATGTTAGTGTTAGTTGGATACCAGTGTAGAAAATCACACATTACAAAAGCCTATGAACAGGAATCTTCAACATGTTCAAGACTGCTCAAATTAAAACATTCTTTCTGTAAGGTGACAAGTATATATACCAAAACATAACACTCAGCCTAAAAAAATCTTGTACATTCCAAAGAGTTAGCATTTGAGCAAAACTTAAATACCAACTCCCAAACATTTTTCTGCTAAATCCGAAATACAGGCAATCATCAACTGGTCAATGAAGCAGACTTTAACTGTATGCATTGTTTACAACTCATAACTCATTTTCCCATGAAGACAGTGTATGAAATGACAAAAGCCTTCCAAGTTAGTTCAAAAGAAATCCACTTAGCCCATAATCTAATTGAACTACAATATATGCAGAGATTTTGACTTTAGAAGAAAGTGATTTTCCTTGCTTTCCTTATTTACATAAGCCTAGGCATAGGGGAAACACTTTTTTATATAACCACATTTATATTTACCACCAGCGAAGATCTCTAGGCAGGGGAATGATATGAGCAGAAAGAACTCTGTTTTGGGAGTGAGGAGGTTAAGTGTTGAACAACAGTTGGAGAAGAGTTGTAGTAAGAATATGTATCAGGGCAGGAGCAACTAAAGGAAAAGTACGCAGACAAAAACTCATAGAACTGCAGACTAAATGGCTGTCTTGGGAGATTAGGAAGAGCAGTAAAAAAAACAAAACCTTTAATAAAAAATAAAATCACTGGGTCCCCAGAAGGATGGGGATGCCCTTAAGAGAGAAAGGCAAATACGAACATAGGGATGGTCAGCAGGAGCTGAGAAGGGAGAATACTACCATTCTCGCCCTCACTCATTCTGCTTCAGCCACAGTGACGTCCTCCCTATTCATCTCCTGAGCCAAATATACTCCTGCCTGGAGGCCCCAGCCTGGGATGCATTTCCCTCAGACATCCAGGAGCTTCCCTCCCTCACTTCACTCAGGTATCTGTATAAATGTGACCTCATCCAAGAAACATTCCCTGACGGATCCTCTATCTAAAATAGCATATCCCATGCCTGACCTACAACCGCACCCCTGTCACCATCTGGCCCTTGACCTTGCTCTCTTGTTCTTCATGAACTTACCACTGCCTGACATTATTTATTTATTGCTTACTGTCTGTCTTCCCCCTAGGTAAACTGACACTTTGTGTTTTTTCTAATGGCCTAAAAACCTATCTAATACATATTAGGCAATCAATAAATATTTGTTAAGCAAATAAAGGTTGATATCTAGACTATGGAATAGAGATAAAAATTAGTGAGTCATCTTCATAGTGGCACTAACTAGAAGACTTAAGAACATAGGCTTTATCCATATAAAATTTTTTCTAGTAAGTCAAAGGACAAATAGAATAAGGTATCACGTTAAAAGAATACTTAAAATCAAGAAGACATAAATAATGTAAATTGTGTTTCCTACCTGACTCTCCCATCCTCCTCTGCCCTCAGTCAGCTCTCTTAAGATGTTCCTACTTTTCTAATCTTCTTACTGCGGAACTCAGATTCTCTAAAACAGTGCTGTCCACTAGAACTTTCTATGATGATGGAAATGTACTATTATCTGCGCTGTCCAGTAGGGTGACCACTAGCCACATCTGCCTACTACTGAGCATTTAAAATGTGTCTAGTGAAACAGAGGAAGTGAATTTTAATATTATTTAATTTTAATTTATATTTAAATCTAAGTTGTCACATGTGCCTGTTGGCAACCATATTGAACAGCTCAGCTCCAAATGGTCTTGTTCTGTTTTTAATAATTCCTGCTAAAATTATAATGGCAGCATTGGTAAGAAGGGAAAGTGAATAGCAAAGGAGCCATTTGGGAATTTTGTCATCAACTTTACTATGTTTTCAAACTAAAATTGTGAAAAAAAATTAAAGTTAACATTCTATATGGGTCAACAAAAAGTACAAAGGTCCATGGCTACCATTCTGCCCTAAAATTAAAGAAAACTCACAAAGTTATACAAGTCATTCTACAGAACATTGTAACAGAATGTAAGCCTAATTGCATGCAATCATTTACAAGTAACTTTCAGAGCATTGTAGAATCTCATTTTTAAGCTTAACCTTAACTTTCAGTGAATCATCAAAACAGTTTTATACATTAGAAATCTCTACGGAAAAAGAGATTTAACTTTCATGGCATTAATTTTTTTCTATCTGAAGTTACTTGTTTAACAAATGTGGGGGGTGGGAAAAATACCAGGGTTCAGTTAATAAACTCCTAAACTGCTGAACATATGTGATCTGCTCTCAGCAGAGATGAGAGCACTAGACCTGGATCTATCACTTGTCCTTTAAATCACTTTTAGGCTGGCCAAGCAACATAACTACGAGCAGAGTTCTAGGACAGAACTTCAACATTTTTCTCACTTTCTATGCAATCCTTACCAAATAAACTGATTCTAAATTGGTAACACTTAACACTTATTCCAATGTGTTATATCAATTTCTCTAAAACTTAAGCCAATATGTGGCATTATTTTCTTTGCTAAAATTACCTACCCAAATCCCTCTTATCTTTTGATCCATTCTTTGATTGCTCAATTGTAGCACATCTCGTTCTGGTGGACATATATTATTTTTTTCCTGTTTTAAAAAAGTTCAAAAGAATTTAATGATCATGAAAGAAAGAATATTACTATTTAATTTCAAGTGGGCAAAAGCCTGGTATGGTCATGTCTATGACAGAGTTTGCCATGACACAAAAACTTTGAA